CTTACCAAGCAAGTGTTTAGTAAACGACCCCTAATTAAATTATGCAAAATAATTGTTATTACCAAAAATACACATCAGAGAGTAATCTAAAATTACAAGTGAATGTCACACCTACCAGTCAAGTGAATGTCTCAACAATATATGCAGCTAACCAACATATACGCCCCCAATAAATAGGGGTCCAAATTTTACCTTGAGTAAATTACATTCTTGGTCCCTGTAGTTTATGTGTTTTAGTATTCTTGGTCCTCCATGGTTTATACGTGTGTGTGTATATATATATATATATATATATATATATATATATATATATATATATATATGTGTGTGTGTATAAGGGTCTAATCAAATGAGAACTGTTTAGTTTGTAGTAACCGTGAGATCCAACATGAACCAATCATTGAAGATAACTAATATGATTTCTTAAAATAAGTAGAAAGGTAAAATAGTAAAATTGTGTTGAATGTTAAATTTACTTTAATTAGTTTAAAATTCTAATTTTGAATTTAATTAGTTGTCTCTCTCAGTCTCGTAAATGGATTGATGAGTTCCCTCCTTCTCCTTTAACTCCGGTATTGACCTTCATTTTCTCCGGTGACCACAACATCTACTCACTGTTCATCATATGCCCTTCATAAAGCGTCGATTCCTAGAATAATCGAACAACATGATTTTTCTTTAAATCTAGATCTGCATCGCATATAGATATGGAAAACTTACAAGGTTTTCTTTCATTTTCAGAAACCGATTAGGAACCCAAATTTCGTGTTCCCCGTCGTCACTGGAAAGTTGTTCCCCTTTTTGTCCCCGTCTTATCACCGATGAGGGGTTTCGCTGGAGTTACATCACACTAAAACTCCATAACTCTATCTTCATCGAAATCTGATCTAAAAACTATTGTATGTATCAACGTGATGATCCAAGCGCTTTGGTTAAATTTAGATATCTAGAACAATGATTTTTATCAATTTTTGATTGTGGGTTTGGTTTTTGAATTTTGGGATAATCGATTAAATTTAGATTATGGGTTTGATTTTTTATTTTTTTAGGGTTTGGTTTGGTATCGTAGTTGGTATCATAATGGTATCTCAATGGGTATCACATTGTGTATCTTTAGGGCTATCGATTAAATTTAGATTATGAGTTTGATTTTGTTTTTAAGGTCTGAGGTGGTATCATAGTTGGTATCACAATGATATTACAGTGATATCACAATGGGTATCACATTGTGTATCTTTGTGATTACTTGATATTGTCCGGAATAATGGCCGAAGATCCGAGGTCGGAGAGAGGAGAGAGAAGGTTTTAAAATACCTAAAATGCCCTCTAATTATAATTTTAACTTAAATTATCAAAATCACTAATTTCCTAATTTATTCGTTGATTTGTGGTTGAAATTGAATCTCATAGTTATCACAAACTAATCAGTTCTCCCTTAAATGGGCCCCTGTATGTATGTATGTGTGTGTGTGTGTATATATATATATCTGTGTGTGTGTGTTTGTATTTGTATAGAATATAGAGATGTCAGGAACGAGCTTGCTAACCAATTGCACAACGGAATCAGTATTGAAATTTTGTGAAAACGGCAAAATTTTCACGTCATTTACAATTTTCTTAGGAAGAAAATAATCAATGATTTAATATCCAAAGTTTTAATATAACTGAAATTATAGAAAAAAAGAATGATCACACATGCTAACACCTTGCTCCGTCATTAGTTGCATGAATCACATATGAGCAGTATTTGTGATTAATATAACTGCTTACGGATTATTTGTGGTTATCTAATAGTTAATTAATGTAACTAAGAATTACAAACGTGTAAAACACGATAATTACATTTCACCGTCTTATGTTATACATTTTACTGGTGTCAAAAATAAAATCATCTGTATGTGGTGTGATCGCATAGGCAGAGCTATATGATTCACGAGATGGGCATACAGATACCTCGAAACTTTTTATTAGTATAAAAATAAAAATATGTATGATAATTAAATTCTATAGATTTTTTACGGGACGATGAATGTAGTTATTTTGTTTGAAAAATAGTATGATATATCAACCCAACCCAATCCAACGCGAAATAACTTAATCCGAAGCAACCCTATCTAATCGAGTTGTAAAATTTTCAAACCGTAGGTATTGGATTGATATTGGGTTACTATTATTTGAACCCAACTCAACCCAATGAACCCGATATCATTTTATTTCTTGATTTAATATGATTGTTGAAGTTTTATTAATATATACATTAGACAATTACTCTGTCACGTAAGTTCTTTATATACACATATTTTCAATCTATTCACATCTCTATATAACTCATTCATATATATGTTCAGTAACTGTGAACATATATATATGTAAATTGAGAAAAATAATTGAATGTGATATACGTAAAAGTATTGTATCAAATGGTTGATGATGAAAAAGAAATTATGAGTAGATAAATTACATATTCAAGTTTAGAATAATATTTTAATGTACTAAAGTATCAACCCGACTAACTCGACCAACTCGTACATAAACTGACACAAACGCTCACGGTATTAAAAAGTTATACAATATATTTGACCTAATTGTAAGAACTCAAAAGTTAACATTTAAACAATTATATATATGTGAGAGATGGAATTTCAAATACAAACCACGCAAACCAATCTCAACCGTTCATTTACTATAATGAATGTTTGGTTTCTGGAATAAATACTCAGCCATTTGTGAACCTTCGGGTATTAATCCATATAGTAATTCCGATAAATTAATGCTACTTTTCCAGTACGAGATATTCATCATAGTAACTAGACGTTGCATTGATTTACGAATCATGACAAGAATTCTCTCTATATATAGAGAAAGAGCCGAATATTTCACATAGTGCTTTTAATCAATCTGATAGGAATCCGTGTTATCAAAGGATATCTTGACATGAATGATGATGTATTAAGAGCTAAATTGGCTAAAGGTATGGTTTGGATATCTAACGATCAAACTTGTTGAAGTAGTTCAACACATTCAGTACAACAAAATTGAGTTTATACGACATCCTGAATCTCTAAGCGTCCTAATAGACCGCTTTTTAGGACTTAATTTATAGGATCAAAATATAAAGTGTCATATCTAAATGTGTTGTAATAAGTTTATATGACCTTTTTTGGCATCTTAACAAGTTTTTTAGGACATTTTTAATACAAAATGTCGCATTAGCAACTTTATAGGACACTTTTAAGAAAGTGTCATATAAACTCATTTTTTATAGGACACTTTTAAGAAAGTGTCCTATAAACTCATTTTTTATAAGACATTTTTTTTCAAATAATGTTCTATAAAGTTGCTAATGGGAAGCTTTATATTAAAAGTGTCATAAAAAACTTATTACGACGTCAAAAAATGTCATATAAACTTATTACAACGCCTTTAGATATGACACTTTATTTTTTTGATCATATAAATTAAGTCCTATAAAGAAGTCTATTAAGACGCTTAAAAATTGGGAGTGTCTTATAAACTTAATTTTGTTGTAGTGATTATTGTACGTCGAACAGATAGTGGCACCGTTCGAGGCATTTCTGTAAGTCCTCGAAATGGGACGATGACGAACATGATCCAAACATTAATTGGGTGTGTATTAGCAGATGATATATATATATATATATATATATATATATATATATTATTTTACATTTATAAAATTTAGATGAAAAAGTAAAGTAAAATAACATGGATCCCATACATTGAAAATGGTATCATTTACACGTAAACTTTTCCTTCAAACCTCATAAATTTAAGACCCTACTTGCCAATAATTTCCATCAACTAATTAAAAAAAAGAAAAAAAAGGCAATTAATTATCATTTATTAATTCATAGGGTTGGGTTTATGTGAGACCAGTGGTTTTCCGTGAGACCATTTATGTTCATTGATCAACTTTATAAGCTAATATTCTAAAGTTGTACGGTGGCAATTTTGTGATTATTGAGAAGTCTCGTAGCAATTTTGTGATTATGAATGTTTAGATTTTAGATCTAATCCAAGGGTTGAGCATTGGTCTTACGGGTCTCACGAAAAACCTTTAATCTCACACGATCATAAATCTTAAATTCATAATTATTTAATTTTTATGTAGTGATTTTTATTTCATGTACATAATTCTAACACCCCACCCTCCCATCGCATGTTCGAAAACCAACCTTGAACCTGGATCTGCATCTTCGAGTTTATTGTCGTTGATCCAAACTAGCCAAGGACCCGAATTTCGATCACTGTCACTATTTGTTCGAGTACTCATTGTTGAATCAGGTTTGTCCGATCTCGTTGAGTCGGGTTTGCCTTAAACCGCTTCCTTTTGATCATCTCTTTCTTCGGTCGGAACTTGATATCCACACACACAGATAGATAGATAGATAGATAGATAGATAGATAGATAGATAGATAGACAGACAGAGAGAGAGAGAGAGAGAGATGGACAGAAGGAGGGATTCAATGACAAAAGGGAAAGCAAGGTTACACTATATCGTCGTTAAATAAACAGTGTAAGGAGGAGAGGTTGAGTTCGCCACGTAAATGATGTCGGGGGGATGTTTTGGTTCGTTCATTTGATATATAAAACATATAACGCATAGAAATTAAAAGAAGGGGGGCGACGCCCCTCATGTAAGAGACCCATGATGTACTTAACACCTACATGACTAACACGTTAACTCGTGGAACTGGTTTGGATTTCGAAACACAGTATATAAACCACTGCTATACCTTATGAATAGTAAATACGAAAACCAAAAAAAAAACATAAAAATAAAATCCCAAAATATTAAATTAAATAAAAACCATCAGAATCTCCAACTATAAAAGATTAAATTATTTTCATTTTTTTTTGACAGCTACACAAATTATAATTTCAAGATTTATTTTCAAGATTTATTTCAAGAAACCTCTATATAAACAACACTCACCATTCTCATACAATCCTCTCTTTCACCTTCATTTTCAAACCTGCAACTTTCTCCTCTACACCCCCCATCATCATCTCCCACACTTTCAAACCAAAAAAGTCGTCGCCATTATGGCCGGCGGTGGAATTCCAACCGCTCCCGGCGGTGATAAAGCTTACCCCGGGAACCTCACTCTTTATGTCACCTTCACCTGTGTTGTTGCAGCCATGGGTGGTCTCATTTTCGGTTACGACATCGGAATCTCCGGTAATAATGGAACTTTTCCGACGTAGTTTCTTGATTTTTCCGATCATGTTTCATGATCTTTGGAAAACTGAAATCTATCGTCTTTTTTTGTGTTTTTAGGGTTTCTTAAGATCGTATGATTTCTGGGTTTTTTGGCGATTGATCGATTTTTGTTTTGTAAAACCTCAGGTGGAGTGACGGCGATGGATCCGTTTTTGATGAAGTTCTTCCCGTCGGTGTACCGGAAACAGTCGGCGGATACGTCGACGAACCAGTATTGTAAGTTTGATAGTCAGACGTTGACTATGTTTACGTCGTCGTTGTATCTGGCGGCGTTGTTGTCGTCGTTGGTGGCGTCGACGGTGACTCGGAAACTTGGCCGGAAACTTTCGATGTTGTTCGGCGGTGTATTGTTTTGCGCCGGTGCAATGATTAACGGTTTTGCTCAGGCCGTTTGGATGCTTATTGTTGGTCGGATCCTTCTCGGGTTTGGTATCGGATTTGCCAATCAGGTATTTTTTTTTAAAATTCATTTTTCTTTTTCTAAAATTCATTAATTTTCCTCTTTAATTAAAATGCCGTTTATCAAACATTTATCTATACTCACTTACCGGGTAAGACTCATGGTTCTTGTCTCATTTTTACCGGGTAAGATTATTAGTCATTACCATATTCATCCGGTGAGTTAATGTGACTTAATAAACACTTACCAGGGTAAGTGTTTGGGAAACGGCCCCTAACTTTTTAAATCATAAGATCCAAATAGAGATAGAGAGAGAGAGAAAAAAATTCGTTTACAAATGGATTTCAAGTTGTGAACTGGGAGACAAAAGAGAGAGTGGCATTTGTTTCCGCCTGTTCACATTCATTATGAATAATAAATAAGGGGAGTTTCAGATACAAACCATGTAATTCTTACAAACCCTACAAACCTAATCTCAACCATTGATTCTGTTTATTTTGGAATTTAGAGACGGTTATAAAATACATGCATGGTTGAGATCGGTTTGTAAAGTTTGTAAGAATTACTTGGTTTGTAAAATAAACCGCCCCTAATGAATATGAACATTCATTAACATAACGATGAATAATATGATATTTTGATACATTATTCATAATGAATAACCAGCGAATATACGGGACATGTGGTCCACTCTATTTGTCCCCGACCCACAACCTAAAACGGGTTTGTAACCTAACCGTCCCCTATAAGCTCGTGTCTGTATGAAAAAGGACCACAACAAAATTAAAAACTTGAACGTAAATACATCAATGAGTATACAAGTTTTCACAGTTTATAATTTTCCTTGTGTTTTTGGACATAAGCATATATACATAAAAAAAATATATGCTTTTATTTTATTATTTTTGTTAATTGGGGAAATTAAATATATTTTATTCTACAATAATTATCCTTAAAACTAAATTAAAATGCATTAAAATGTAATGATTTTGTTTTTATTCTTATTTAATGTAATAAATAATAATTTATTTCAAATCAATGTAATAAAAAAATTAAATTTTAGTTTTTTTAAACTTTGTTATATTTAATTAGAAAAAATATTAATTTTATCAAATTAAATAGAAAAAAAGTTGAAACTTTATAAATTAATTGAGAAAAAGAAAATATTAATTAGAAATTAAATTAATTTTTTTTGTGTTTTATTATTAAAAAAATTTTAAAGTTAAAACTATAAACCGAAAAGAAACATACTTTGAATATTAATATTTTAAGGCAAATTGCATTAAAAATATCATACTTTAACGTGATTCCGATTTTAGAGAACGTATTTTCAAATCTTCTATTTTGATACCTAAGATGTAAAATTTTAAACATTTAAGTACCCGATTAACCCGTTGATATCAGCATAGATATCTTAATTCTGAGTTGGACACCACATCATTTGCCACATCAATATGGTAATCGGTTAATGTTTCAACCGGTTACCTGGTACATAAATGTTTAAAACTTTATATCTTAGATATCAAAATGAAAGTTTTGAAATTATATTATACAAAATAAAAATCAAGTTAAAATACGTTATTTTTTTATGTAATTTATTTTTTATTTTATACAATAATTATGGTTGATTTCTTTGTTTTTAATGTTTTTTAATTAACCTTGAAGTCTGTTTTTTCCTGACACAAGTGTTTTACTTTATTGACCAATCTCACAACTTGTTTTGAAAACAAATCTGTTTTCTGATTTTTTTTGTTTTGTTTTGTTTTGTTTTTAGTGAATTTAATTCAACTTGTTTTTATTATTATTTAAATATAATTGATTTAATTTTAATATATTAAAATATTAAATTAAAAATATCACCTACATGTTGTTGCCTCTTTTGCACATGTTGTTGCCTTGTTTGTTTTCAAATATTCCACAATCAAAATGCATACTTATGATAGCAACCCCTTGAAAAAATAGACTTTGACAATGACACCCTTTAAAAAACCCAATATATTTATATAAAATATAAACAATAAAAAATATATTTAAATATTTTTTTTTGTTTTAAAAATTGCAGTCTGTCCCACTATACCTTTCGGAAATGGCACCGTACAAGTACCGAGGGTCGCTCAATATCGGATTCCAATTGTCGATCACAATTGGAATCCTGGTGGCGAACGTGTTGAATTATTTCTTCAACAAGCTGGATGGGAATCTGGGATGGCGGTTGAGTCTCGGGGGTGCGGTGGTCCCCGCGTTGATTATCACTGTAGGGTCCTTGATCCTCCCTGAAACCCCTAACTCGATGATTGAGCGAGGTCAGAGTGACGAGGCGAAAACGAAGCTTCGTAGAATTCGAGGGGTTCATGATGTAGATGAGGAGTTCAATGATCTTGTTCACGCGAGTGAAGAATCGAGGAAGATCGAACATCCGTGGAGGAATTTGTTGCAAAAGAAATACAGGCCGCAGTTGACTATGGCTATATTGATCCCGTTTTTCCAACAACTGACTGGGATAAACGTTATTATGTTTTACGCTCCGGTTTTGTTCAAAACCATCGGTTTTGGTAGCGATGCTTCGCTTATGTCTGCTGTGATTACCGGTTCCGTAAACGTCCTAGCAACTTGTGTTTCGATTTACGGTGTTGATAAATGGGGACGCAGATTTCTTTTCCTCGAAGGAGGCACTCAGATGCTCATTTGTCAGGTTTGTATGCAACTTCATAGTCATTCAATAAAATCGACAATCGACCCTCCCACTAATTCATCACAATATGTATTGCAGAGTTGTATTATACAACTCTGCAATACATTTTGAGATGCCAATGTGTCATATATTATGTCTTTATTTTAATTTTTAATTTTTAATTTTTTTTGGATTAGGTTGCCGTTGCGGTTTTCATAGCGATCAAATTCGGAGTAAACGGAGATCCGGGCGATTTGCCCAAATGGTACGCCATAGTGGTGGTGCTCTTCATATGCATATACGTTGCAGGGTTCGCATGGTCGTGGGGCCCACTAGGGTGGCTCGTACCCAGTGAAATCTTCCCCCTCGAGATCCGATCTGCCGCCCAGAGTATCAACGTTTCCGTTAACATGATCTTCACGTTCATAATCGCTCAAGTGTTCTTAATGATGCTCTGCCACCTGAAATTCGGGCTTTTCCTCTTCTTCGCCTTTTGGGTTGTCATCATGACGATTTTCGTGTATTTCTTCTTACCGGAAACGAAGAACATTCCGATCGAAGAAATGGTGATCGTATGGAAGAACCATTGGTTTTGGTCGAGATTTATGGTGGATGTGGAGTATCCGAACGGAGTTGAATTAAGCAAAGGAGGCGATGTTGTTAAAAAAGTATAACTTTTTTCCCGAATTCAGTTGTTGTATTGTTTTAGAGATTTGTACGTTGTCTATTAATAGTTACGTCTTAAAAGATCGACTCAAAAAAAGGGTTTGACTTTTTAAAGTCCTAGTAAATATAAATTGGTTAATGGTGTTAAAAAGGGTAATGTGTAATTTGGCTCTTGAATATTTATTGTTTAGAATATTTATTTTAATGGAAATATCCCTTTTTATAGTGCAAAATTTAATTTATATTGTATTTTCTTATTTTTATTTTGTACAAATTGCATGAAAAAGTAAGTTACTTTAACTTCATTTTTATTTTAGGTAATGTATTTTCAAAACTTTCATTTTGGTATCTAAGATATAAAGTTTTAAACATTTAAATATTCGGATAACCGGTTGAAGTAAAATAACATGGAGCCCATACATTGGAAATGGTATTATTTACATGTAAACTTTTTCCACAAACCTCATAAATTTAAGACCCTACTTGCCAATAATTTTCATCAACTAATTAAAAAAAAAAGAAAAAAAAGACAATTAATTATCATTTATTAATTCATAGGGTTTGGTTCATGTGAGACCAGTGGTTTTTCGTGAGGCCATTTATGTTCATTGATCAACTTAATAAGCTAATGATTTAAAGTTGTACGGTGACAATTTTGTGATTATTGAGAAGTCTCGTGGCAATTTTGTGATTATGAATGTTTAGATTTTAGATCTAATCCAAGAGTTGAGAATTGGTCTTACGGGTCTCACGAAAAACCCTTGATCTCACATGATCCCAAGTGTTACTTCATAATTATTTAAATTTTATGTAGTGATTTTTATTTCATGTACATAATTCTAACACCCCACCCCACCCCCAACCGCATGTTCGCAAACCAACCTTGAACCTGATCTGTATCTTTGAGTTTATCGTCGTTGATCCAAACCAGCCTTGGACCTGAATTTCGATCACTGTCACTGTTGGTTCGAGTACTTGTTGAATCAAGTTTACCCGATCTTGTTGAGTCGGGTTAGCCTTAAACTTCTTCCCTTTGATTGTCTCTTTCTTCAGTCAGAACTTGATATCCACACACACCGAGATAGACAAATAGACATATAGAGATGTACTGAAGGAGGAGGGGTTCAATGACAAAAGGGAAACGCAAGGTTACACTATATCGTCGATAAAGAAACAGTGTAAGGAGGAGGGACTGAGTTCGTCACATAAATGATGTCGGGGGGGGGGGGTGTTTTGGTACGTTCATTTGATATATAAAACGTATAACGCATATAAATCAAAAGAAGGGGCGACGCCCCTCATGTAAGAGACCCATGATGGACTTAACAGCTACTTGACTAACACGTTAACTCGTGGAACTGGTTTGGATTTCGAAATACAGTATATAAACCACTGCTATACTTTATGAATCGTAAAGACGGAAACAAAAAAAACATAAAATTAAATCCCAAAATATTAAATTAAATAAAAACCAACAGAATCTCCAACTATAAAGATTAAATTATTTTCATTTTTTTTTTACAGCTACACAAATTATAATTTCAAGATTAATTTCAAGATTTGAAATAGAAGGGGGTTGATATTCATACCCCCTCACTTCATTTTCTACACCCCCTTCTCTCACAAACTCACTCCCTCACATACTCACCCCCTCTCACATTCAACAAATTTTTTTAAAATAATAATTTTAAATTTACACTTTATATCCCTATAATTAGTTAATTAATTTACTTTACGTCATCTACTTTTAATTTTTTTATTTTACACATTTATCAAATTAAAATACAT